GTATGAGGCGGACGCTCTAACCACTAGGCCACCGGAGAGGTTGTGTTTTGCATAAGAAGAGAATCGGAACAGCGCCAGTATAATTCATATTAATCTACTTTAATTAGCGCCATGATTCGAAGTTAGCAACAAAGGAGAAAACCAAATGGCTGATAAATGAACGGCACGACGGACAGATCTCACAAACTCTATATATCTGACACTAGAAAACAAGCATTAATATCTATGAAAAATCTTACTTGTCATATTATTTAAGCAAAGTATGGACAAAAAGAACATACGATTGTACAGTCACATTGCTTTTCAGAATGAATACACGTATCAGTCCCTCTTTCATAAACTGGTTATAAGTAATAAGAAAGCTTTCTTTGATGATTCATTAATGATAGTGCTTGTTGTTCTAGACGGTAGCAATGACTATAGTGTCGTAAATCAAGAGTGGGAAAGTCGTATGAATGAGGCAAACAAGAGTCATCTGCCATTAGAGGTCTACTTGATCAAAATACTCAAATGAATCGCATGCTCACTTTAGGTGTTATTCCTCCATAAACTATCAACAAACAAGATTTTTCAAGGCATGAAATGCATCGATCTATACGAAAGACCACTTAATTTTTACTAAACCATGAATTTAATTTATTTCCCTAAGCATCAGAAATAGTGTATATACTGTTTGAACGCCAACGTTTTAAAGATCACCATCTCAGAGTTCTCATATACAAATAAATGGGTTTTATGATTTCCTTTTCCCGTCTTCTATCTCTTACGTTATTTAAACAACAGGATTCATAAAAATAGATTCCTTCTGGGAGACAGGTAGCTAACCACTCCCTAAATCCTTTCATTTAATTATTTATAAGCGATCATGTCAATGGAATACCAGCTAGGATTATTTCAATTGTTCTTCGCAACACATAACGATAATTGTATTGAATAACTTTTTTAATGACTCATCGACAATGTCGTCACTTTCTTCTAAAAAATATTGTAGCATTACCATGAAATCTCCTTGCAATTTTAGAATCGTTACTGCTAAATGACTATTAGCGCTTCATCTATGAATCTTATAGTAATGGATGCGCAAGATGAGAATTTTGTTTAAAGTAGGCATTTAGGTTTGAAAATTGTCATCTAATAAGTGAATATTTCTTCATCAAGAGGTGATTTTATGCCACCATAACATAATGTAGAATACATATTATAGGAAATTACCTTGTTGTTCTTATATGAACAAAACTAGGTTGAAAGGATTGACTGGCTGTCCCAGAATATAGGAAATTAATCTTTCATCTTTCTTTTCATGAAGTTTTCTGATACAATGCACAGCTGGATGAGGACAAAAAAAAAATCGTCAACAGAAGATCAATGGAAGATCAATATGGGAATACAGTTTGTCTTACTTTTTCTGTCTCAGTCTGCTTATCTCATCTCAGTCTGCTTATGTCAAATCTTTCGTCTCAGTTATGGTGTCCACGCGCTAGAATCTATTTTTTTAAATAGAAACCCTTGTTGTTTTATGTTGTGCCTGTCGGAGTTGTTATAAAATCCAACAACAACATATATATATATATATATATATATATATATATATATATATATATATATATATATATATATATATATATATATATATATATATATATATATATTAACGAAAATAAATCCACTCATTAAGCAACTTAAGGCCTCTCCAATTTTGATAATACTGTACAAAACATTTTGACACACACACACATACACACACACATACACACACACATACACATCGAGCTGTGTGATAACGCTCCAGACACAAAGGCAATACACATCACTGGCAACATAAAATCAAGCTCTCTCAAGTGCTATTGCAAGACTGGCAAAAACCAGAAATGTGTTATATCAATCTGGGTTTTTTTTCTAACTTTGTCGAACGCTCACAATCCTTCCCAGCTGAATCAAATATAAAAATGCGAATGCAAATAAAAACTACTGCACTTACTAACCAGAGTGCTTCATTCATCAGTCAACATGCTATTCCACAAAATGATTCCATGTAGGGTATCAGTGCATTAGTGGTAGCAACACTTGCAGATTTCCAGGACAGAAAATTTAAATTTAAAAAAGTCATGAATTAGACATTTTCTGATGCCACTACACAATTCTTTAGAAATGTATATCCAGTAGGTATATTGTAGGCCTACTTGCACAGTACAATATCGTTGCTTCCATGGAATGCTTTCCAAATTGGAACTTAACAGTATTAAAGATATTAATTACTTATTGTCAATTTCATGTCACATCCATCGATTAAATGTAATAATGTAGTAATAATATCAAATGATTTTATATGTATATATTCACACGCGTAGAACTTGTGTACTTAGGATCGACAGGTCATCCCATTACCCTCATTAACAATTTCGACTTAATACGCACTATAAAGAAAAGCACGCCGCTCGAGACGCTCGTTAGACACTACTTCCAGCTCGTTTTATTATGTCCATCTTCCTGATTTTTTTTCCCTTTTCTAAGAGCGGCATAAATTGCTAAATTTCACTTAGATAATTTTTCAGATTTTCATACAAAAGACAAAACCTGTTGACCTTTATATACATAGTGATAAGTAATAATATCACCTGATGAATATTTTGTTTTAACTCTGCTAGTTAAATTACAAGAATACGTGGTTATTCTTATTTCGTTGAAAAATATTAGGCTAGAAAAGTTGGTGTTTGTACCAAAACAAGGAAATCACTCCCTGTCGCGGGGTTACATTATTTGCCTCCTCGTGAGTCTTAGCCTTGCGGGGAGACAAAAAATATAACCCCTTGACTCCGATTTCCTTGTCTCGGTTTCAAACCCAACACATATTCCATTGATATGTAAAATTTAGAATAAATACTGGAACATCCCATGTATGAAGAAATGCTATTACTTAATACAGATAGCGAAAAGAGAACGTACTTTTATATTTCACATGCCTGTGCAACTGAAGATTGCTCGCATGACGTGGATATCTTCCTGACAAAACTAACGTTTAATGTGATGTGAGGTTACTGTCTGACTCGTGTCTGTAAGTGGCCTAGCCATGGTGCAATCCACGGCCAAGAGCTTAGGGTTAATAGTTTTCTTGTTGCAAGCACTTTGCTGGTGCAGCATGAAGTAAACTGAATTCAGTATTTTGAGATAATATAAGACGTGAATAAACCACCATCAGGTAATGTTATACACGGAAACGAAACCTGAGCACATTGTAGTTCAGGTATAATGCATAAACGTTAAGTATACACAATTTATATATTTGCTAGAAAGGTTCCGATATGTTTACCGTATCTATACCTTGGCGGATCGAGCAGATATTATAGTGCTTTGTATTAGCGATATCTTATCGATTTCATATGTTGCCTCCCTTAGTATGCAATATTGGCTAACCTATAGCTTGTAGCAGCGGTGCATTGTACATCGACGGAAAATGGTGGAGGCAAATGACTTCAAAAGGATACTTTGTAAGTTTAACATCGAAAGTATGATTACGAACCAGAGAGAAGCCATTACTGGTGTAGTTGAATGAGAAGTATTTGTACAAACACGGACCTGATGTTGAAAATTGTTTATTTACGTGTCCATTCAAGTTGTTTGCTCTTCTTGTCTCGGTCGTGTCGAAACAGGGTTCAGATTTGAACAACTTAACTTTGATTGGATGTGATGACTTGCCGCCGCATCCAATAAAATTCACAGACTCGGACCTTAGCAATATCTTCTCATCCCGCCAAGGTGTAAATATGTTAATATGTCGGAAATTTGGCTATCGAAGATGACACATTTCCGTGACAGCAGTTTTCTTGAACAATTATTCTGAAACGAAATTCTTTATTTGTTTATTTATCACGAAATCTTGGAACAAACATCTTGATAATATGTTTCAGACAGCCACAAACAATATCATAAAAAGCAGCAACTATTTCATACAAATCTCCGTTTAGCCTAAAACGATTTTTCTGTTCTTTTGTGCAAACTATTAAGATATGGAGTAATAACTTTAAGACACAAAATCAAAATTATTCTTAACATTCCGGAATATGTGGAAAAAAAGTCTTACTATTTATGTCAGGTCATGGTCATTTAGACATTAAAGATAGTGGATTTTTATTATTCAGTTAAGGGGCAGTAAACATGTTGTATAAATGTAATAACCACATGACTTATTCCCCTTTATGCGCTCTGGACCAAGATCTATCTGCCTAAACCGTTGGTGATATTAAAAAAATAATTGCTATTTTTCCTTTAACAAAATATGTATCTGAAATAAATTTCCTTGCTGCAAAAATCTAGCAAGCAAGATGCTATTTGCAGTTCTATTCAGTGAGATTTAGAAAATAACGCATTTTCCATATCAAGTTAACGATTGAAACAAATGAAGAATATTGATGGCAGATACCAATTATTGTTTATCCTAAATCGTTTAATTTAATTTTACATTAATATAGGCGTTAGTGCACATAACCCTAAAATGAACAAAATTCATTTAAATGCTTTACATTGATAAGTCTGTGTGACTGTCTGGAGTGCATACATGATGACCCAGTGCTAGACATCACTATAAACTGCCATAATGCAGACATCATAGCGATATGACTGCAAAATTGATAAAGCTACGTTAAAAATCATAATCACATCATATCACACTTTTTGGAGTGTAGTAAATTCTGATACAACCAATGATCTGGTCTGGAGAGAAAGTACAGAAGGAGGTAAGGTACAATGTTTGTGGTGAGTAAACTTAAGCGTGATCAATCCTATACTTTACACTAACATTCCAGAAATGATTGAAATTGATTATAATTCTAAATAGGTCATATAAAAAGCTGCTTATGATGGGGTCTAAAAGAAATCTAATATCTTTTAAAAAAAAGAATAACTGCATTAAAAACATTAGCAATGTGAAAAATCAATTAACTATTAGTTTTTTTTTTTTTTTAACCAAATCATCTACAGTAATTATTAACAGAGCTGACCACTCCGGTGGCCTAGTGGTTAGAGCATCCACCTCAAAAGCGGAAGGTCGCGGGTTCTAACCCCGGTTGCATCAAAGCATAGACTTATAAATATCGTACTAACTGCTACTAAACGGAATTGTAAAATGAATACTGAAGATGGATGATGAAGATAAATATAAAGATTCTTAGTGTAAATAGTTTTGGCAGATTTTATTAATGTTGGATTAATGGCATATAATTTATAATTTCTTGATGTAACCAGATGATAAGCGTATGCCGATAGATAACAAAATGTTTTATGGTGTCTACAGATGTTTAACTTAAGTATTGGAATGTAGACTTATTACAAGAAAAGATTTAAACCCTTTAATTTCTAAATATGTGCATGATTTTGTTTTGGTTGATACACCTACTAATGATGTAACATACAGACTGTCTTAACTACGTCTAAACAGGTTTCCACCCAGGTGTTACTAAAGCATATGAATATAAATTGATTGAATTCTCATTGCTAAAAATGTACATTTCATATTTTTTTGTTTACTTCAGCTAAAAAAATTTCTTTCAAGTGAGAGTTTATGACCACCGTTAAATTATATGCACTTATTTATATGAACAATCAATTCTTTCCGTACCTTTTTTAAAATTAAGAATTAATATTAAATACGAAAATAAACTTTTAATTGCTTGAATTTAACATTGTATTATATTAAAGAATGATTCAAAAATAGGTAGCCATAATTGTTAAAATACTCAAAAGCATATTTTTTAATTATTTTGTTAATGTAGTAATTTTAACAGAGATGAATCATAATCATGTCTTTAAAAATATATATCTATCGAGGGAAAGGAACTATAAAGCGATGGAATAAAATTTAAACTTCAATAAAAAAATAAAACTTGTTCAAAAGTTTATTTCCAAATGCCGTTCGCACTGGGAAAGGGGGCGTGTAAATCTGGGGGGGGGGGAATTTCACCAAAATGATCAGAATCGGATCCCGCTTTTGCTAAGGCAGTTCTTGCGTGTACGTTGTTTACTTTGGCCAATAAGTGGAGACCGGAGCTGGAAATATTTGTTAAAATTTGAAAGAAAAAGTCATATTTCCTATTAAAACGAAGTGTTCCATAATTAATTTGAGCCAGCATTTATTTTGAAAATGGATGGCTTTCTATCTCATAACGATAAAACAAAACAAAATCTCTGTAGTTTTTTTTTTTTATAAATTTGGAACAACTAGTCTCCTGATTGTATAATTAATTTACCTTCTTGGTGAGACACAATGCCTTATAATCGTAGGAACTCGAAAATAAATTTTCAATGTCAAAGTACAAACTATTTGTTAAATAATTCGTATACATGCATTCCAAACTTTATGGAGTCATGGAACAACCTATCACAATCCGCAAAAAATTGTTATCTATACTAGCAAGAAAAGTTTTTCTTCAAAAGACATTGCTTCTCTCGAAATAGAACACTTAACTTCTAAATACCCGTAACAATTATTATTAATATCAAATACCTTTAAATATGCAATTACTCAATGCCAGGATTGATTTGGCAAATTAATATGCCCCATTCTGTCTACCTCAAATGGCGCACCATTTTCTGTTTTTTCTACTTTATTTCTGTTTATCCATTTTATTTATTTACTACAAAATTCCATTTTGAATTAAGAATTTATATTAACAATTAGGATTTTTTTAAAAAAAAATGTATAACTAAATAGGAAACATTCTTTTGAATTTCAATCATTATTGTTATCATGCTAATTGCCAAAGTTTACTACACTATTAGCATGCAGACAGGATATAAAGTGGTGACTGTTTGCTTTTGCATTATAAATTAACTAAACTATTTTTGCATTAAATTTTAGTCAAAATAGCATTAAACAATAGGAATACGTTTAGGGGAAAATGTATATTTTACGATTAAATTTGCACGACGATTTCAAATTCTGTGGAAAAGTTAAACAAAAAATGTTTTCGTTTTCTAATATCTGATACATTTTCATTATTAAATTCGCATGCTAATACATTCGTTCAATGAAAAAAATTATATAAAACTTAGCGAAGGAAGAAATTATAGTAAAAATCAGAGTAACAGTGACTACTTTTAACGCAAGTCTATATAATCTACATATAATGTGATGGAAGGTCACACGATTTTAAATATTTATTTTTGCAATAATAAATAGAAATAATGTAATCAAATTATGCTCAATAATTTTGAATAGAATGGTTTTTTCGAAGATGTGTTTTAAAAGGGAAATATAATTCCATTTCGCGTAATATCCATTACGGATATAATTCAAATGCGACTTTAAGAGACCCCATATAAACACGATCATTGACATTTACTTCATCCTGTTATGTTAAATAACAAATTTTTCTTGCACAATCAAACAGGAGTTATGTCATCAATTGCGAAAGAATGTGTTAAAACGTTAATTTTAAGCTTATCTTGTTATCCGAGGCGTTGAATGGCAAGTTTCCGATGTGAAGTAATCGATGACATGTAACAAACTGCCGATGAATAGTAACGAAACTGAAGAATCCTGATCACCATACAAAGACTTTCTCATTCACATCCTTTACCTCAAACAATAAGTATCAGCAATACCAACATTAAATTTATCTGGTTAATACAAAACCTTGATGTCACTCTTGACAGTATGTTCTCATTAGAACAACATGCAATGAACACGTGCAAATCTCAAGTTCAAGCATCAGCTTCATTCGCAATTTTTTTTCGGTTGATGCCAATAAAATACATGTATGTTTATTATTACTTTCAAGACTGGTCTGCTGAAATTCATTTATATCTGGCTGCTCCCAGTATCTACTATAGAAACTTCAAAATGTTCAAAACGGATGATCCTTAGAGTACAAAGTAATGAGCACACATAACCTTTACGGCTACCCTTTCGATCCCGAATCAAACACATAATTTGTTCACTATCGTATAGTTAACTGTCTCCAATCCAATATACCCAGCTGATCCTCATACATATGTATACACCATCTAGAAGCTTACGCGCTTCTTCCGACACTCGCATTCTCATTGTTTTCACTTTTAAAACGAAGTCAAACGGACAATGTTTTTTTGTGTAACAGGGCCCAGCTACGTCGAACGAACTGCCGTAAATGTTAGGAACAAGGACACTATGATCTCACTCAAGAATGCTCTTAAACTCACCTATTTTGACTACAAAAGCAGACCTAAAGACTTAATAATGTTTACTTCCGTAGCTTTTGCCGGCATTTTTTTTTTGTTTTATAATTTCATGGTGCTTGTCTTTTTAATCGTCTTTGTATATATTTTAGATGTTATCTAATATTGTAAAACGCTTAGAGCTTCCCAAAATTAAACTTTGCATTAAGTGCACGTTATTATTATTATTATTATTATTATTATTATTATTATTATTATTATTATTATTATTATTATTATTATTATTATTATTTGCGTGTGTCATCTTGTGTATAATTAACGTAGTCACGCAAGTCATATCCTGTTAAATATGTCGACCTACTGTTCTATCTGTACTTTGTCTCATATTAGAAAAGTAAATATATACCAGAATCAAATATTACTTGCAGCGCCTGATTTAAGACAAATGAGGCCTTGTGCTAGTTAAGTTATGAGGTTCCTTACTTGGTCGTATCTTTTGGCAAGAAGATGCCCCCCCCCTCCGCCGGGTCAACACGGGTCCTGTGCTTAAGCACACCTAAGCATAATGGTAAATCAGGTGCTGATTACTTGTTACCCGTGAAAAATATTTTTTTCAATTGTCAACAATGTGAGACTGACATAATGTGAAACCTTGTAACATATTGGTACTCTTCATTACATGAAAAGCAAAACACTTTTTTTTAATATTAATAGTATTTATTAATAGTATTTACATGTTAAAAATTCCCCAGAATGATGTTCCTGTTGTAAAGCTGCATATCCGCTGAATTTGATTTTTCAACTTTTAATTTTGCGATCTTTTATATACCTAATTTATTATTTAACCCCTCCCCAGTTTTGTGTATTGTTTCTTAAAGGTGTATAATTTATTTAAACTACTGTGTTGAATGTGTGACCTAGTCAGAGCTATCTCCCTTTTAATTGTAAATGAAAGCGATATAAACTTATAACAAATTTACATCACGGTTCGCCGAGCTTGATTCTAGGTCATACAGGTAAACGTTCCGATTCGCGTGTAGGGAACACTTAAGTTTTATTTCTCTGGCTCTCAATAGACCTTGATAAGCTATCAACTTGACATGCGTTTTCGCGAGTACAACATTTACACTACGTTCAATGCGGATTTCTCATTGCAAATTCTTTACATGCTGCACGGAACAGATATACGTCCCTGTGGTTAGAATGAGCAGCTACATGGTGTACCGGAGTGACTCGCAAACAATTACAGGTGTATATATTACCTTTTCGCAAAATACAGTGTAACGACGGTATACTAATTAAAGACTGAACCTCGAACGCCACCAGTCCGCAGAAGATATAGTAGGGTCCATACCTGCATAAAAGTGCTGTTGAGACTTCGTACTGGCGGTCAGTAGGAAAATACAATGGCAGAAACACTTGTGTGGGAAGACTTCTTGACGATAGGCATCTACTTTGCCATTGTCATCGTTGTTGGACTGTGGGTTAGTTATTACGTCATTCTTCCCTCTCTTGATTATCATACCATATTTCTTTCTCGCCCAGAGTTTTTTTATCCTTCCTTATTTCTTTACTTCCTTCTTTCCTTCCATCTTTTTGTAACAAAGGCTGACTGCGCCTGACTTTCTGTGACCCCTTTTCTGACATTCAAAAAAGTTAACTACAACTTGAATATAGTAAGCATTTTTAGTGCATTTTTGTTTAGGAATGTGTTGTTGTAGATACGACTTGGAATGCAATTAATATAAATAGATGTCAGATTAGTGGATAATTCATATCTACACTATATTTGAAGAAAGCTAAAGATATGGAAACAGTTTTTTGGAGAATATTTTCGTCCGTTCAGAAGATGAATCGCTTGTTTATAGATGACAATCTAAATCCAGTGCTATTTTTAATACTGTCAAAGGGTATACATAT